CAAAAAAAAAAAAAAAAAAAAAAAAAAAAAAAAAAAAAAAAAAAAAAAAAAAACCAACGTTGGTTCATTCTTCTTCCTCCTCATCCTCTGCAAAATTTAACTTCTGACAGATTGATGCTTCCATCTCCTGATTAACAAAAAAGTTCGTTCTACTATCAATCAATTCAGCCACCCTCTTGGCCGGTCCCGACGCCCTTGGGCTCATACTCCCACACCGACTCGTCCTGATCCTTGGAAGCATTTCCCCCACCTTCCAAACTGAACACTCCCAACTCCTTTCTTCCATTTCTTCTGGGAAACCCATTATTTCACTCGGAATTTCCCGTCGCTTCTTCACTCTGCTTTGCGGCCCCTTGCTCCGGCAAACTTCCGACGAAGGTCGCCGCTTATCATACCTACTGCTTCCGTCGTCTTTGCAATTCCCCGGCAGAGATCTCTTACGATTCTCTGTCGCTACTTGGGAGCTGCTACTTTCATTAATCTGATTGTAACGGCTCGCTACAATCCTACCACTCTTCAATGCCCTTTTGACACTCGTGGGTGCTACTGATTTTTCAACGTCTTTAAAGAGCTTCTTCGGCTGAATCAATTCAACAAGCCCATCTTTCTTCGCCGGCCTTTTGGATACGACGGTGGTTGCCGGTTTCCGTACAGTTTGAGCCTTAATCAAAGTCCTCCGCGATTTTGGGCTAAGGCTCATGTTTCCTCTTCTGTTCTTCGCCTTCCCCTCGTCAATCTCTAGTAATTTCGGAAGGCATGATTTCCGACGGTTATGTATCCGTTGAATCGGCGTGAGTTCCGTTTTCCCTTGCCGCCGAGCTCCGACGCCGGCGTGGATTTCCGACGGCCCCAAACTCAATCCTCTGTTTTGGCCAATTTTCGCGTCAAATGTTCTGACGGGCACGAATCTTCCACCTCTCTGAACTGATGTTCTTGCAGCATCCCGCTTGGCCTTCTCAAATTGAAGTGCTTTCAGCCTCGTCGACAATCGAATGATTTCCATCTCTGTTTCCTCAATTTCTTCATCGATGTTCATCTCCTTACTAATTACCTCCTCCTCTTCATTCCCCCTAACACCACACATTTTGATCATACAGGGCGTTTTCAATGGCTTCCATTGTGAATTTTCAATGACGCCATTACGACTGAGCGGCTTCACAGAAACAGAGTACTTTGTAGAAACAGGGGTCTTCAAACTCAAAGGGCATAAATTTTCTTTGCTGCAATCACTCTGCAACGATTCAGAAGATGTGTTCTTGTACGAATCTTGCACAGTTGACCAAGAACGAGTTCTAACATCAGATTCACCGTTTTCAAATGCAGCATTGTCCCAGACCTGAATGTTTGGGACTTCGATATCATCCGGATGATCATCAAGAACACTCGTCATTAGTTTCTGGGCAGACGAATTTTTATGAAAAAATTGCGTTTTCCAGCAAAATAATAATAAGAACAAAGCAGGGCCTGAAATTTTCCGATTCAAAGCTTGAGCAACACGAACACAATAAGCTGCAGATTTAGATGAGAGAAATTGGGGAATTCTCTATATTTTGAGTTTTCGACCGTTGGGAAATATAGACGTTAGAAGGAATCGCTCTTCGTCCTTGCGTGGAATCCTGGCCGTTAGATTAGGGAGGCCATCGCGCTTCAATTTGTTGATGAAATTGGGGGCCCAGAACCAGGGCCCGTCTGAAAAGGAAAATTAAGGCCCATTATCAATTTAATTTGCTGTCGGATATTATCCAATGTTCTTCATTCAAATTATTTCCAATAAAAAAAACATTTTAAATTTTAATTCCAATTAAATCATTTTAAAATTCCATGTTCATGTATTAATTTATACATTTAGTAATAAGATGGGCAAAATAAATATTTCATTAACAGACCGGTGAATAAGACACGAATTACCATTACAGAAATTGATGGTTCGATCTCCATAGCAATCTCCTCTTACAAATCTGTGTCAAATAACCCAATACGAACTATTTGCTTACAAATACCACAATCTGATAGAACAACAAAGAACACAGGATACACATTCTGTTCTCTCCCAGATTCTAGTTGCCATGTTAATGAACTCTTTGAGTCACTCTATATATAAATATGCTAACATTTATTGGAAATCAAACCGATCACTATAATAAGTACATATGCCTGCTGTTCAATAGCAATAAATGATCATCATTCAGAGAGAGAGAGAGAGAGAGAGAGAGAGAGAGAGAAAAGATGGTAAATTGTTGTTTTCAACTAAGTTGAGATATATCAACTTCATCTGGAATCTTAAAGGTGGCTGCTGCACCAAATTTCCTGAATTCTTCTCCACCTTTTGTGGAGTCATCTTCACAATCCTCCTCTTCTGAATCCTCATCAATCCTGCTGGGTGTTGAGGGATCATTAACACTTCTTGATATGCAACTATGGGTGGCGAGCATGTTGACTTGACCAAGATGAGAGATTTCCACCATAACAGATTCTTTGGCAGGGAGGGGTTGCTTCCAGGGTTCCCCATCAATTCTCATGAATGTGTGATCTGCTTTACCTTTCTGGAACTCGAACCTGATGCGATGAGCCTTGCACCAAATCAGAGGCGAAGTGTGAGCAAATACAACAGAGACACAGACAAATTCAGAACAATACCTCATTACTATGAAAATAAACATAAATATAATAGTTTTGGCTGTTATGAGCATTTTACCATAACCTATATCCCATATGCTGAAGGTTATGATCCACAACTGTAACACATGGAAATAAACGAATCTTTATCTGCTTTCAAAAGCCTTCATTGGACTTATATAATGAAGTTAGGCTTTACCATAATGTCTACTTTAATATACCAACTTTATGTTCAACCATTTTTAACCAAAAAGACTAAAGATTTTTTTTTATGGTGAAGAGATTCATACCTTTTAACTCTCAGTCGAAAGTATATATGTCTTAGTCAGATCTCTTCACCTTTTAACTCTCAGTAGAAAGTATATATGTCTTAGTCAATTCGTTGTGCTTAGGTTACCACCTAAACTAAGACTAGCTAATATAGATTAGAGACCCTCTTGTGTCCTCAGTCCTTGATTAAATTTTCTCACCTGCGCAAGACGAGTTCCATGTCCACTGGGAGCAAGCAAAACGAGTCCATGCCAAGCATCCCGAAATCCCACAACCTCAAGAAGGCCATCATCGACGTATGGTGGAGTAAAGTCTCTCTATAAACCACATTTCATGAAGGAATGACATTAGGAACTAAAAGAGAAACACGTGAAAGTAATTAAAGCATTGCACCAACATCTGGATTCAGATTACTTCAAATCTAAATAGAAAATAAATAGATCGGGAACTAACATCACGCTGCCTCCTGCAATTTGGTTTACCCCATGGATTGAATCCACCGGAAAAGCTGGGCAAGTTAAGGCATACGATTGACCTGATTCTGTAGCAAACATCAGGGAACAGCATTTCGTAATAAGAAAGAGAAGCACACGGTATCATAAGGAAAGGGTCCTAGACACTACTGAACGTTTGACCACAATTTCATTTTTCGTTTTTTTGTTTCTAACAATTATACTTGCTCTCCCCACACAAATTCTTTGGTAATCTTTCCACTTTTTAAAGAACACATTTAAACTCTGAGCCAAATTTAAAAGAATGAAAACAAATTTTGAAAACTACTTTTTTTAGTTTTCCAATTTTGGTTTAAAGAACATGTGACCAAAAGAAACTCTAGGTTAAAATAATGCGTATAAGATTGACTTCCAAAATTAGAAAACAAAATGGTTATCAGACAGCATCTTAACCATTATCATTAACCAAGGTGACAGAGGAGGGGTACACTATCTTCTTGCGAGAATAATTAGCAAGACCATATTGACACAAATCGAGTAATACAGTACTAATTAAGAAGAAAAAAGTAGGATGTACGGTGCTTGCTGGTTTCAGTTTCAAATTATAATTTTAAAACAATAGAAGTAGTATTCACAATAAGACATGCAATACTAAAATAAATGAGATGCATCAACACTTCCATACTTGTTCTTCTGCATGCTAAGCAAAAAATTGGAAGGATAAATATATTATAGGCATCAGATAGGTAAAAATGAGAAAAGGGCATGTCATTCGAGAAAAATGGTAATTGAGTACATTGCAGTTCAAAAGAAAATCAGATTAGTGCAAACAGACAAAGACATTATCTGAAATTTGAACAATTTTTTTAATATCGTTCCAAAACAGAAGTTATGTGAAGAAAGTAGAATTGGGTCCAGTAAGTAACTTTGAAAGCTGAAAAACTTTACCCAGGAGGTATAGGCAAAGTTTGCCAATCACCATGATGTTTCATGATCTCGACCTTAGCAATTTGAGATATATTCCTATATAGTGACAGGAAACTAGTTAAACAAAGAAAAGGGAACAAACTGAAGGTTAATGAAACATATCATTCTTGTATTCTCTTTTGAAAAAATAAGCAGAAATACCCATTTGTTACATTAAAATTTGAAGGCCTTTTCCATTGTAATCAGAGTTGTGGCGCAATTGCTCTGAACTTGTTAAAGATCATTCTATGGTGACTACCAGAGTTAAAAGACAGGGTAACCCATTCTGTGGTGATTACAAGGAGCAAAAAAAGTGATTTTTTTTTTTTTTTTTTTTTTTTTTTTTTTTTTTTTTTTTTTTTTTTTTTTTTTTTTTTTTTTTTTTTTTTTTTTTTTTTTTTTTTTTTTTTTTTTTTTTTTTTTTTTGGTATGTGTGGACGCTGTTCAATGGGGGGAGTCATTACGATGAATAGATGCATTAACATGTTTTTTCAACCCTCGTTGCTGAAATCAGTAAGAAGCAAAAGGAAAATGAAGACCGCCTATTCTTTCATTGACAGTACAGAATACAGTAGCACGTTTTAGGCATTTAAATGTGAGTTTCAACCAATCTTGGGATCTCCACATAGCAGCAAAGGAGAAACTTAATACAGATGTTAAGCGGCATAGAACAGAAGAAGGCTAAAATATTATGGATCAAGCTAAAACAACTCATTGGAGTTTCTGGAAATAATGAAATCGAATGAGGGAGTGGTTAATGATGAGAGCTGGGATTTGGCAAGATGTTTCAGTGCATTTTGCTAAGTCTCCCAATGGGGAGGCGAAACATTACGGGGGTTGTTGAATACCTCATGAGGGATGTATTGGAAATTTTGTGTACCTCATCACGGTTGGTAATTTAGGTTACTACTTTTCACTATGAAGTACCCCCTCCCCCCCGCACAAAATAAATAAATAAAATCATTTGAGTACGCACATGGATGAAGGATGAAACAAAGGAGCAAAAAACCAGGTGCTGCCAATCTTTGCATAGGTACTCTGGTACACAAATGAGGAGAAAAAGGTTAAATTTTGGTATATGAGCAATACACTAATAATCAAAGAGTTAAATGTGGTTGACATATTATATCCAAGAAAGCTTACACGTTGAAGTTCATATTTTGATGTTCAATGTTTCAAAAATCAATTGCGTTCATAGTATCTATTATCTCATATAAAGATTTTAGTATGATTGGAAACTAGTCTGCAAGCAAATTCATGAAGACATTTGTAACACTTACCTGATTAACTAACTGATTCTTAAATTTTTCAGGATGCATCTTTCTCTCAGAATGAAAAGCATATGATACTTGAGCGTCCATTCCTGCAATCAAAACGAAGAAACAACTCTCATGTCAGAGACCATTACCAGTAATTGCAAACTAAATTGGAAATTAACAGTATACAAAATTGCAAACAGTAGAAGCCGAATGTCGAATAAATTTCCCATTAAGAGATCATCAAAATAAGGATTTTTCTTTCCGGAAATGATTTAGGACATATCTCCTGTGATGTATTACAAATCTCAGTAACATGTTGAACTTTTATCTAGAACTGTCATGGAAGTAGTCTTACCCATGCTGAAGTAGTTCCAAAATCCCCCACGGAATGTGAGGCAACCTTCCTGAGAATCAAGTAAGTAGTTCAGCACATAAAGAGAGAAGAATATTGACTTATAAAAAACATAACTGAAGGTGAAATTTCTTCCATAAAATGAGATTAAAAAAAAGAAAAAAGAGAACTTGAGCCCTTCTTTCCACAAATAATACTTTTTCTACATGTTGAGTTGAGTGCATAATCTTTATATAGTTTCAGAGCCTACGTTAAGAATATTGCTTAAAAAAAAAATGAATGGAACTTATAATTGAAAATGAGCTAAATACTTATGAAGTATAATCAAGAGAGGATGACTTTGGTTTCTAATTTATATTTATCACTTGTATCTTTCAATCACACTTCATGGTTCAGTTAAAACTGCTCATTTCCAAGGACATACAGCGAGTATTTATCAAGTCTTCTGTAATCTAAGTTCTTCATAAATAAGAACTCTATTCAAGACTAGTTCCAAAATAACATACTTGAACAGAGTGAAATCTAGCCACCACTTATCCAATACTATTGTTCTATAAGTTCCATCAAAATACATCATTGCTCCTGTCTTGTGTTCTGAATTGCTAACTCAGCTATAAAGTACCTTTTGAACAACTTAACTTCAACCTCAAGTATGACCATGTAGTTTTGCAGGTGTTGAAATAGGCGGCTAAAATTTTTTCAGATAAGAGGCAGGCGGATAAATTAACCCGGTAAGTAACTACTTAAGATGGTGATGAGTTGCTTCGCATGCAGGTTTCTTTGAGAGAAAACAATATAATCGACTAAGATTTATTTAGAACATCAAAATACTCTTTTATATCAAAATCTTATACAAATAGGGAATGTGTTCCACATAGTATGTAGTTACCACCTTGTGTTCATCACCCTCGGTGACCCGATGAAATGCATGCAGGGAATGTGGCAATTCAAGAGGAGCAATAGGATCACATGAGCCTTCTGCTGGAGCTCTCATCCTCATCAGAATATGCCAACTGTCATACAACAATAACAAGATCCATTACAGCTTTTGATTATGATAATGTTGAGTTTATGATGAGCACATACATATGCAAACATGTGTGTGTCAGCCTTTCTATCCTGTTTTCTTACTTGTCAATTTTCATTTCCTTTGCTTTCAGGACTTGATCTAAAAATGAAATCACAGCGTTAAGGTCTGTTCCAGGATTCCTCTTTCCCTGAAATTAGGAAAATATTTTTGTTTCAATTCTTGTGCTGCCTGATAATAATATCAGGAGGATATTAAACATTATATCGATGTCAGTGGCTGATATCAAACTAAAATGCACAGTTTTCACAGAAAAGCATTCATCCTTCAAATGCCTATCAACAAGGTTTTCGACAATACCAACATTCTAATCAATAATAAAGCAGCAATCAAATATATGAACTCAGTTTTCAATTATATTTGCTCAACATCCTTTGCAATGCTACCATGTTAATATGGTAACCAGAAAGTGTGAAATAATTTTAAAAAAATTACCCAACCAAATGCAAAAGGAAGATTGTTTCCAGTTCCTAAGGGCACCGTAGCAATTGGAGGTGAATAAGATAACTTAAGATCGCAAACAACTCCAAGAAGCCAGCCAGCTGTTCCATCACCCCCTGCAACCTGAAAGATCAAATGCATTGAGGATGGAATTTAACAGTGTATATTGCTAAACCAAAGAATTTTGAACTTGGCGTAAATATTGGAAAGCACATCAGAAACTCACTATTAGTCGCAATCTCTTCTGAATTTCGACTGCAATTTCATCGCCATTAAGCTTAAGCTTTTCAAGGTTCAAGAAGAATCTGCGCAGCACCACGTCAGGAGCTTCTTCCCCCAAATCAAAAACCTTACAATTAGTCAGATAGAAGTCAACCAACAGTAAATTCAGTAATTTCCTATATAGCTCCCAGAGGCCGACAAAGTACATCTAAAACCTTTGTAACCAAAAAATCACCTGTTTCTCATTGAGAAGAGAACGATATGTGCTAAGGAGACTGCCACCAAGCTGACCACCACTTCTGGAGTTGATAAATACTAAGACAGGACAATTGGGAACATAAGGAACGCTCTCAACTTTAGCTTCAGCTTCAGGTCGGAGTATGTAATCAGGGATGAGAAAATTCTTAAAGAATT